CGGGAATCGGCGCATCAGGTAGTCGTAGACTGGTTGGGGTGGGAAGTGACCTTTCAAGGTCATCTAGTGCACCCTGCCTGCACTGAGCAGGGACATCTGCACCTAGAGCAGGGTGCTCAGAGTCCTGTCCAAACTAACCTGGAGGGTTTCGAAGAGTGGGACATTGGCTACTCCTCTAGGAAACGTGGGCCAGGGTCTCATCACCCTCAGGGTCAAAAATCTCTCCCTTCTCTCTAGTCTCAATCTCCCTCTTTGAGTTTCAAACCATCCCCCTTGTCCTGTCCCAACGGTTCCTGCTCCATAGTCTGTCCCCAGCTTTCTGGCAGGCCCCTGGCAGTCCTGGCAGCCCCCAGGGGGTCTCCCCAGCTGGAGCCTTCTCCTCTGTGGCTGCCCCAGCCCAACTCTCTCCTGCTGGGCTCCCAGCAGAGGGGTTCCCCGCTCGGGGCATTGCTGGGGCTCCTCTGGCCCCGCTCCAGCAGGTCCCTGGCTCTGCTGTGCTGAGGACTCCAGAGCTGCCCCAGCACTGCAGGGGGGTCTCACAGAGCTGGCAGAGGGGCAGGATCCCCTTGACAATGGTCTTGTTCTGCTGCTCCTCACACCTTCTGCACTGGTGATGTCCTCACTGTGCTGTGGCAGCGTGGAGGGCACGTTGGGCCATGCTGGTGCCAAGTGGTGCAGGTTCTCCAGGCTGGGCATGAGTGCAGCTTGACTGCTCATATTAGGAAAAACAAAAAAAAGAGTAAAACTTTTAAAAGCATTTAAAAGCTTTTTTAGGAAGTCCTGGCATTATGGTTTTATGAATTACTTCCCCCTCCCCCTGCCCTATGTTGGGTTTAAAATTGAATGAACAGGCAAAATGAACTGCACTCCATCTACCACTGAGGAAGTTGAAGAAAAATAAAAGAAATATGTGGATAGGGCATTCATTTATCCCCAGTGTTTGTTAGTTGAGGATAACTTAGAGATATTAAAACCAGATCATGTGGCTTCATTCAGTCTCTTGACTCATAAATGAGCTGAAGAAGGCCTCAAGAAGCAACATCCTCTGCAGTCACCATGTGGCCAGCAAGAGCAGAGACAACAGCTCCAGGTCTGTGTGAAGGACCAAGATACCAAATGGGTTTATCTTTGGCCACATCATGCAAAGAGGGAAGGTCACCATGGCCTTGCAGCACGTGCCTTTTCCTGAGTGCTGTTGCTGCCACCACCACCGTGGGGACAGGATTGAAGAAGTGAGAGATTTCTGGTCCTGAGCTTGGCGTCAGTCGCTGCTGAGGGGATTCTGGAGAGCCAAGTCCTCCTGTTGTTCAGCAAAAACACACGAGGGAAACACCCACTGATGTCAGTTTGACTGTTGGGGTGAATAATGGCTTCCTTCTTAATTGCAGCGTGGCAGGCACAGTGGTAGTTCTCATTTCAGAGATTTTTAATTAAGCCAAGGCAAAAGTATCTTAACACCTCCACGCCTCGTCCCTCCAGAGGTCCTCAGAGATGCAGAGGTGCATGGAGGTCGTAGTAGCCTTTTCTAAAAGTTCATGAAGAAATGGTTAGTATGAAAATAACCACCGACTGCACCTCCATTTTAAAGCAGTGGATAAATCAGTTGTAAAGAGTAGGATATGTGGATAGATTTATTTATTCAGCACATCTCCACAGCCAGGTTGGTGCCCCACGAGGTGCCTACTTAATGTGCACCAGTGTTGTGACTGCCTCTGAGCACGACAATAGAAACCTGGCCCGTGCACTGTGAGTTATTCTGTGCATGCTTGTGAAGAGCAATTTAATAAATCAGTGAGGCCAGTTTGTCATCGGGTTGGTTTTTGAAGAGCAGGGGGTCTGGAGATGGGTTTGGCCCTACTAAATATCAACAGAGTGAATGTGAAAATACATGCTTATATATTTCATTGAGGAAGAATGTGCTGTTTGAATAGATATTCTGTTTTCTTGAAAATAAGCAATAAAAATTCATTTACAATGGGGCTGCAATGGAAGACAGTGGCTGCAAGCAAGCAGCCTGTCTCTTTGTGTCCCAGCGTGGCTCAGTGAGATAGCTGAGGTCTTGCAGAGGGCAAACAGAGGTTGTGTGACTCTTCTGCTGTGGTTTTGGTTGTTTGGCCTCAAAATTAGGGAAGTTCCTCAGCAGGCACATGTGGGTTTGAACTGCTGTGCAGAGCCACTCGGTCAGCAAAGCGAAGGGTTGGTTTTGGGGAGAGGGGTGATGGGCGCTTGCACTGCAAACAAAGTTGACTCATTTCCCCTTTATTTCTTACAGACAAGCAGAACGATGTGGAGATTCCTTCTCCCACCCAGAAGGACAGAGAGAAGAAGAAGAAACAGCAGCTCATGACACAGATCAGTGGAGTGAAAAAATTAATGCATAGCTCAAGCTTAAATAATACCAGCATTTCCCGGTTCGGTGTGAAGACGGAGAAGGAAGACCACCTGGCCAAGGTATGATGGAGTCTTCCAGCTCTGGGAGAGCTGGTGTTGCCAGGAACTCAGGGATGGACTGTCTGCAAAGCTGGAATCAGTGTCCCTGAAGTGCCGTGTCCCTAACGACATCCTCTGTGTTCATAAATCCCTTGAAAATCTCCATAAAGTAATTTTTAAAGTGTGAAAGCTGAGGAGAGAACCATCACTCAGGGATGGACTGTCTGCAAAGCTGGAATCAGTGTCCCTGAAGTGCCATGTCCCTAACAACATCCTCTGTGTTCATAAATCCCTTGAAAATCATAAAGTGATATTTAAAGTGTGATGAAAGCTGAGGAGAGAACCATCAAACACAGGGAGGTGTAACAGTGCTGTGCCCAACACACTGGCTGTGGGGCCTTTGTCTCTCTCTGGGCATTTCTTCTTGACACATAGCAAGGAATGATTCCCCTGCCACACAGAGCAATGTCACCTCCTGGTACAAGCACTTTGCCATCAGCCCTTCTCAGTTATTCACTGTTCAGGTGCTTTTTTAAGGGCCACAGTGAAGTTTGAATGTGCATCTTTTTAAACTGGTGGTAGATGCCAGACCTGATGCAAGCCATAAATGCAGAACTGTGTTGGAAAATATTGTAACCTTTCTCTTTTTGTCCTTTCCAAAGGAACTGGAAGACCTGAACAAGTGGGGGCTCAACATATTTAATGTTGCAAGGTACTCCCACAACAGGCCGCTCACCTGCATCATGTACGCGATATTTCAGGTGGGTGCTTTGCTGAGCAGGTTTCCCTTTCTTTTCCTGCAAAGATTTAGATTCCCATTGCTTTGTCACCTTCTGCAGTGTGACATCCTTAACGTGATGCATGTTGGATGGGCACATTTCTTCTGCAGGAACGGGATCTGCTGAAGACCTTCAAGATCTCCTCGGACACTTTCGTGACGTACATGATGACGCTGGAAGACCACTACCACTCAGATGTAGCTTACCACAACAGCCTCCATGCTGCTGACGTGGCCCAGTCCACACACGTTCTGCTCTCTACCCCAGCACTGGATGTGAGTTCATAGAATCTTAGAATTCTGGGTTCTGAGCTACCTAGTTTGGGCTGAGCGCTTTGTGTTGCACAGCCGTCGTGCTTCAAGGGGGGATGGTGGCTTAAAAGCCCCACGGTGTCTGTGTGAAGATGGGAGAAGAACCTTAAGCTGAGGCCATGACCAGCAGTGCTCAGGCTTGCAAAAAGCAGCATGCTGCCTGCTCTGCTGAGGGCTCAGTTCACCACCAGGGAAGTCACCATTAAATTTCAGCAGCAGCTTTGCTTGCACTCTGTGTTTCATCTCGAAGAGCACAGGGTGCTTGGAGACCTCTCATCCAAGCAAATGTCTTGTCCTCAGAAAACTAATTTAAAAAGCATCATTTGCTTCTCTAAGCCAACCTCCCAAAGTGTTGAGAGATTCACAAAATGTTTTGGGTTAGAAGGGACCTTTTAAGGTCATCTGGTCCAACCCCCTGCAGGGAGCAGGGACATCTGCAGCTAGAGCAGGGTGCTCAGAGCTTCATCCAACCTCCCCTGGGATGGTGCCAGGGATGGGGCAGCGACCACCTCTCTGGGCAGCCTGGGCCAGGGGCTCAACACCCTCAGGGGAACAAATTTCTTCCTTCTTTCTAGCCTAAATCTCACTTTTCATTTTAAACCATATCCCCTTGTCCTGTGGCAAAAGGTGCTTCTCAAAAGTCCCCAGCTTTCTGACAAGCCCCTTTAAGCCCTGAAAGGCCACAATAAAGCCTCCAAAAATATATTGAAAAAACATAAGGATTTTTCTGACAAATTCCTTTTTTCCTTCCTAGGCTGTCTTCACTGATTTGGAAATCCTTGCTGCAATTTTTGCAGCTGCAATTCATGACGTGGATCACCCTGGGGTCTCCAATCAATTTCTCATTAATACAAGTGAGTTTTGCTTCAAATACCACAGTAACTTCATGGGCAAACTTGGAAACTCAATGGAAATTTATTTTCCATTACAGAGAGCTCACAAATTCTGACTTTTAGACTGCGTTGATTTCTCAAAAATGTGGTGCAGTAAAACAGTTGGGTGTTTTGAAATAAAGTGGTAATTAAAATGAAATTCCTAACAAAGGGAGCTATTGTGGTACAATTTGTAAAGGGCCCTTGAATCTTGTGGGTATTACTACTTGCTAAAGCATGATCACTCTCCCAGTCCTGAGTGCAAATTTTATCACTAGTGGAAGAGAAATCATCCTATTGCTATTGACAACGATAAAGCTAAATATTGTGGTTCATCTTGATTCCAAAATGTGGCTGTTGTTCTTTTTTGGGAAGTGTGTTTGCAGGGTTCATGCTGTGTGTTGTCAGAGATTCTGAAGGCTGTAACTAAGTCAACCGAGGACTATTTTGCTCCTCAGAACCCAGCAAAGGGCTGTTTAGATTACATACATATGTGCTTGGAGGAGGAAGCTGCACACTCTTGGCACACATGAAGCAAAGAAAAGGCAACTTTTCCCAATCTTATTACATAGAAATCAACATTTCAGTGCCCAGGACAGGCGTTTGCTGTTTAAAATCACACCCCTCCCCTGCTGGACTCACAGGTTTGTGTCACTTCTGCTAGATTCCGAGCTGGCCCTGATGTACAACGATGAATCTGTCTTGGAGAACCACCACCTGGCCGTGGGTTTCAAACTGCTTCAGGAGGAGCACTGTGACATCTTCCAGAACCTGACCAAGAAGCAGCGCCAGACGCTCAGGAAGATGGTGATCGACATGGTACGAGCTTCGCACGCCCTGCGCTGGTTCTCGAGCCCAAAATCTGGCTGCTTTCTCTGGCTGCCTGTACTGAGATCCTGTTTTCTCTTCTGCAAAGGTGTTGGCGACAGATATGTCCAAGCACATGAGCCTGTTGGCAGATCTGAAGACTATGGTGGAAACGAAGAAGGTGACCAGTTCGGGTGTCCTCCTCCTGGACAACTACACCGACAGAATACAGGTACCTCAGCCACCCTCCCGGGGTTCTGTTCAGGGCTGGAGCAACCCTGCTCCTCTTTTCACTGGGGCTTTTACACGGGCCAGACCTAGAAGCTACTGACCTAAACTTTCAGCATGTTCTTCTGCTCCCCCCCCACGAATTGGCATGAGGTGGTCGTCTGTCTGAGGTAAAGGAAATGGTGTTTTTAGAGCATGGAGCTCCAAACGTGCCCATTATTCTGACCTGAATCTATAAGGCTGAGGTTTTATGGGCTCCTGAGTTTCCCATTTGTTTCTCCTGACAAAAAAAAAACACAGCAAGAGTGTCAGAGCATTGTGAGAGGGCAGGAATTTCACGTGGGGCTCCCTCCCCAAAGCAACTCACGCCGAGCTGCGGCGGGTGATGCCCGACCCGTTCCCTGCAGGAGCTAATCCTTGACTTACAGAAATGACAGAGCAGAGCTGGCACGGGGCTGCGTCGTTAGCAGGACGAGACACATCCTGATCTGCTCTCCCCTTTGACGACCAGCTTCCTCAGAGCAGACTCAGGGGAAAACCCTCCTTCCCTTTTTATTCAAGGCTCCTAAAACAGGTCACCCTGTTGCCGTCTAAATCCTTGGAGCCACAGTTAGTCAGGCACACACGTTTTGTGCGTGCGTGGAAGGGATATTACTCATGCCATCAAGCTTTTAACCATCTGAGGGCATGGAAATCAGTTTTGAATGGTGGGAAGCACCTGCATTCAAAACCAAACCTGCATGACATAATTATCGCTGCCACAACTGCAGCCTGTGTGAGTGTGGAGCTGTCTGGGGAGCAAGCAGCAGGTTTTTTACTTTGGAAGTGGACTTGTGGCATCTCCTCTCAGACACGGAGATATTCCATTAGTATTTTTATAGGCTGAAGGCTCGAAGAGTCCTGTGGTTAAATGTTCTGAGCTAAACAAGCAGCTCCAGCTTGAAACCATCCTCTTTTTTTCCATCCTATTTTATGACTTTTCTGCTTAATCCAATTGCAGGTTCTCCGAAATATGGTACATTGTGCAGACTTGAGTAACCCCACCAAGTCCCTGGAGCTGTACCGGCAGTGGACGGACCGGATCATGGAGGAATTCTTCCAGCAGGGAGACAAGGAGAGGGAGAGGGGGATGGAGATCAGCCCCATGTGCGACAAGCACACGGCCTCGGTGGAGAAATCCCAGGTAGTTACCCCTCGGCTGCAGCTTTGGACTGCCCGAGCTCCTGTCGTTGAAGTGGGGACAAAAATGTGCTCTCTGGCACGCCGAGGCAGAGAGCCAGCAGTTCAGAGGGCTGTGCTGATGGGCCCTGACAGCCAGCAGTGCCTGGAGCTCCTCTAGGCTGGCGAGGCTGCTCAGTCTCCTTGATGAACCCCGTGGCATCTCCTCCCTTCCAACCCTGTGTCCATCTCGCCACGTTTGTGTCCCAGTTTCCAGAGCGAGTAGGTTTCCCTTGGTTCCCCGGGCTTGAAGAGCACAACTCTGATCTCCTCTGCCTTCTGCCAGGTCCCTTCAGCCTTCACACCCTCCAGCCTCCTTAATTAGCACCTCTGAAACCTACTGACAGTGCAGCTCACGTCAGGCATAGCCCTGCCAGCCCCCTGGCACTGCCAGAGTGAGGAGCTCCTCCCAGCAGTCTGGGTGTCAGTGGTGACTGGTGCAGAGCAGCTCTGCAGTGCAGGACCTGGTGTTGACCTTAGAGGTCTGAGGGAGCTGCTGCGTGTCAAAGAAACCTGGAGTTGGGTCAAAGTAAACCTTAAAAGGAGCTGGATGCCTCTTTTCCTTTCTGGAGATGAAGTGGCTCAGCCCTGGTCCTGAATCCCAGATGAAAGGGTTCCAAGGTCAGGTTTTGTTCTGACCTGTGCAGCACAGGCTGTAAAATTTCCCCCAGTAATTTATGTTTGTCTAAACACATCCCAGTCTTTATATAATGGTGTCTTGGTGGTTGTTTTGAAATGACTCGAGCAAGTCATCATGGAGGTTTTTCAGCTTGAATAAGTCACAAAATTGATGATAATTATTTCCAAATGTCCTCCGGGCGAAGCTGAGCGGTTTCAAAATTGTTCATTCAACCACATGGTGATTTTGTTGGAAAAATCTGTCTTATTTGTTAACCTAACAAGAAAAGAATCCTCGGGCCAGGCTTGGCCAGAAAATGCCCATGTGCTCCGCATGTGAGCTCAGACTCCTTTCTGTGTTTCACACACGGGCTTCCCAGAGGATCCAAAGCCCAGCTCCAGCCCTTGGGCTGCAGCAGCTCGAGCATTTCAGGGGGAGGCGGCCAAGCCAGCAGCTAAACGTGCAGAATTGGGGTTGTTAAACGTGTGCTGCAGGAAATTTTCACCCCCTTTTTGTTGGAGCTGCCTCCCCAGTATGTTCCAGTCGAATGTTAATGGTTCCATTGACATCCTGTTGTGTCTGAAGGAGGCGTGGGTGACTTCCAAAGCAAACATTTGCAGCCCGGCCCCCCCCCTGAGAGCCATTTCCCTGCTGCACAGAGAGCCTGGCCAGCAGAGCAAGCTGAGGAGGGACAGGCTGCCAAGGAGGAAGGATTTCAGCCCTCTGCATGGCCACTCAGTTGTTGCCATCCTGGACGTGCGTCCTCTTAGGCAGGCAGTGGGGAGGGATTTAGGTCAGAGCTTACGCAGCGAGGAGAGGAGAGGAGAGGAGAGGAGAGGAGAGGAAAAAGGAAGGAAAAGAAAAGGGGAAGGGAAGGGAAAGGGAAAGGGAA